ATTATATGTTAAGTCTTTTATCATCATCATTTTGTCCTCCATTATCTATTTATACAGAACCATGTAACTGTGTATATCTGTGGAGTACAGTGCAAAATGAGACTGACTTGATGCTTTAAGCTTTTGCTGTATTTGTGACAATGACTGAGGTTGATAAAAGACATGGAAATCTATTATCACTGTACAAAATGTCTTTTAAATGTATTAAGTCTATCAGTGAACATGTGTCATTTTCTATTGCATTAAATTATATTTTTTTTTCATTATTTTGCTCTATATTGTATATTGGCCAACTTATGTTTACCAGACACTTGATTAGGTAGACCTGTTAAAGTGCTTATTAATGGAAATATCTAATTAGCCAATGATATGGCAGCAACGCAAAGTATTTAGGCATGTAGCAAGGGTCAAGACAGCCTGCTGAAGTTCAAACTTAGGATCAGAATGAGAAAGAGAGGTGGTTGAGGTGTCTTTGAACGTGGTGTGGTTGTTGGTGCCATGCTCTAGTCTGAGTGGAAGGCAACAGTAATGTGATTGCAAGGTATGCAGACGAGCATCTCTGAGCAAAAACACATTGATCCTGGAAGCAGATGGGCTACTGCAGAAGAAGCCCACACCAGGTTCTTGTCAGAAAGGGAACCTGATTATAATTTGCATGGGTTCAGCAAAATTGGAAAATAGGAGACTGGAAAAAGTTTCCTGGTCTGATGAGTCTTTAATACAAGATTTTTCATGGTGGAGTCAGAATTTGAAAACATGGATGCATTCTTCCTTGTATCAACAGTGATGGTGATGCTGTAATGGAATGGTAGCCCATCAGATGATAGTTACTTCCAGCAGGATAATGCATCATGCCAAAAGGCTCAAATCACCTTAAACTGGTTTCTTTTTTGACTGGACTCAAACACTCTCTATGAACAACAGATTTCAATCCACCTGAGGACCTTTGGGATGTGATGGAATAGGAAATGCAGATCATTCATGTGCAGAAATCTGCAGGAACTGATGCTGTCATGTCAATATGGACCAAAATATCTGAAGAATGTTTCCAACGACTTAAGGAAGCACTGAAGGCAAAAGGGATTTAAACTCAATATTAACAAGATGTTCTTTAATGAAGTGACCAGTGAGTGTGGATGTAAATAACAAGGTAGATTCTCTACCAGCCTCCTTCCTTTTTGCTAGACCTAGCTAAATGTTCAGTGCAATACAAGAGGCTCTCATGCTTTCCTGAATGTTACCAAACTACAAAGTGTGGGGTAATTATGGTAAATGGGCTGGTTCTTACAGTATATAGCTCCTTTCTACTCTAACTGAGCACTCAAAGTGCTTTTATATGAGGAAAATTGCCGTTGCATTTTTCTGAAATGACAGAAAGTTAAATCAGCTCCTCTTTGAAAACATTTCACCGTGAACTTTATGAAGAAAAGAGAGAATTTATTGCAGGAATGTCTTATTACTCTGCATTGTTCTCAGCTTTGTGTACCAAATTTCCTACTGGGAAAAACATTTATACATAAAACTAAATTAAATAAATAACTTAAACATCAAAGTAAATCAAAAGTGAACACAATCTATACATCTAGCATAACAGAGAAATGTCTTCTGCTTGTACTTTTAAAATAATAGAATCTAGTACGATACAAATGACAGAACAAATTCCTTATATGCTGAATTTTTAGGTCTTAATTTGGGCCGCTGAATTTTTGGTTCCTTTTAAAATATCTGATACATGTGAAATCTTGGAATAGATCTAAATGTGTGATCCCAAACCCCCACAAAAAAAGCCAAGTGAAATAAAACAACATGGTTCAAGTCAGTATTTCCAAATCCCTTCATATGATTTTAAAATTTTTATGGTTGTTTTATAAATATGAGCTAGTGTAAAGGATCTTATCAGGAAGAGATTAATGAGTAATCTGACCCTGTTTTTAAGTTGGTGTGTGTGTGTAGCCTTTTAATCAAACTGATATATTTTTCTTTAGATTTGAATCCAACTTTTTTAAAGCAGAGACAAAAAAGCAAACATTTACAATATAAAGGAAAAAAATATATCGCTGTATGTATGTATAATTATTTGTTGAATTTAAAGCATTTTTCAACTAAAACCATCACGAAATGTACTATAGTCACATCACAAGCTCGGGTGACTTCTTCAGAAGTGCTTTAGTGTTTTACCCAAAGATGTTCAATTTAAAAATGACACGAGGCAGAAGACTTTGCTTGAACAATGACTTCTAATAGCTGCAGTGCAGCTTAGGACACTTTGCATGAGGAAACACTTTTAAAATAATTAAATAGGAAAGAAGTGAACTGACCTAGAAAGCAAGATAACAATCTGGGGGAAAAAATCAGATACAGACAGACTGTAAACACTGTATGAAGATGTTTATCATATGGTCATGTAATAAAGCAGGCTGTGAGATGAGACTGAAGAACCACAAGACCACAGCGGTTACTGATTAACAAACAAATAATTTGATCTCTAGTTGTAGTAGCGTCCCTTGCTTGTTTATTTATGGAAAGAAATTAGATAAAAATAAGAGAATCTGTGCATGTAGGCGGCCAATCTTTAAACAGGCACAGAGTGTGAAAGTCTGTTGTGTTCTTCGTCACTATGGCACAAAGAAACAAGACAGGAATCATGTTTAACTGGGGTTTAACTTCAGCCGGCAAGTCACCTGACAGCTGGATGACTGCACTCACACCACACACTTCACACCTCACCAGGTTAATAAGTACTGCACTGAGGTGGAAAGAGGGGTGGTAAAAGCACAAAGCACATTAAAACATCTCCCTTAAACTACAGAATGCAGTTGAGACAGCCCAGCCAGGTGCAGAGGTCAAGAAGGGGGTGAAGTTCATTCGGGCTGTCACGTGGAATAAATTAAAAAATGATTAAACAGTTAATCAGATTAAGCCTGATATTTTTGGTAGAGATTAATCTATTTGTTGTTTAAAGACGAATCAGGTTTCATTTAGCTAGTTGCTCTTCAGCCTACAGCCTAAACACAACCAGTTTATAAGCATTTATAACAGCAGACATGATTTTTAATTGTGCTCATGGAACATCAGTTAAGGCCACACAGACAGAGTAGTGTGGATTACTACAGGGGATACCTTTTATTTACTCCTGGGGCCACAGGGCAAGAGCCTCTGTGGTGAAGTGTGAACATTCCTAGGTTGAAAGACACACAATTTACTTAAACATAAAAAAGTGAGCAGATTTTCAGGATGAGGGGCTTTTCACACAGTCTCATCAACTGTCCACAAGCAAGTAAGAGAAAACTAACAGGTAGATATCAATTTGGGATAAAATCTACACTTAGCACTTGAAGACCTTCAAGTGTCGTTTTTTGAAGGAACTACGTTTTTTGTTCAATTTTGTTAAAAAACAAAACAACACACACACACACACACACACACACACACACAGAGTTTTTTAAGTGCTCTATATGCGCCTCTCTGTGTGTGTGTGTGTGGATGTCGGGTAAATCGTGGATTTTTGACGTCCTAAAAGTGTGTTTAAACGGCTGCCCGGAGCGTCACACGGATGGAGGTGCAGATGTTCACCTCTGCATCACAGACATGCTGACAACCGGGGTGACTAAACCCACTGGGGCGACACACCCAGCAGATGCCCATCACCTCACCTGAACCCGAACAGTTTACCGTGGGGAGGGCGCCTACCTCTTTGCGGTCCTGCAGACACTCCAGCACTGCCAGGTTGTTGGTCCAGGTGTGCTTGGGACAGAGGCGGGTCAGGTCCTCCCGGCAGGCCTCCTCCTCCGACAGCTTCCAACCGGTCGCCCTTCGAGGCTGTGAGGCCCCAGCGGCTGCGGCTGCAGGTGCATCCTTCGCCGGCGGATCAGCAGGTCTGAGGACGGGCGGGTTGTGAAGCTCGGCCGGGCCGCTGGCAGCCTTCAAGCCGAGGACGGAGCCGAAACTGCAGAGGCACACGGACGACAACAGCAGCAGCAGCTGAGCGCGACTGTACGCCGCCATCTTCACAGCACTGTCAAGCTAGTCCTAATACATGACGACATCACTTCCGGTCAGCGAGGTAACGGTGAGCTTTATTTACCGAAATAAACACACAACTTCCGGTCACTTGAAAAATAATTAAATAAAGCTTTACTGTACTCCTTTAGTAACAGCGTCAGTGTACCCATTGTTTTTACATTGTTGTTTACTCTAGTAAGCAATACGACACGATGACCACGTCACACCATCTCCAGATCTAATTTAAAGCTATTTATTTTCATTTAATAGCAACAAAAAGAGAATCAACTAAATGTAGGAAAAATAACGCGAATAAACTTTTCAAATATAAATAATTGTCGTTTATTTACATAGGCCTGTTTCCACACAAAACTATCAGCCTGAATTACTTTTTTTAATGCTAGATATTCCCCCACCTTAAAAAACAAAACAAACAAAAACAAAACAAAACTTGTTTCGAAGTTCCTGCTCTACCTTTTTTTGTGACAACAAATACATTATTTCTTTGTCATCCATTGTACAAGGACAATGCAAGTCCGAATATTCAAACAATTGTTGGATATATCCCGGGTTAGTGTGTGTGTGTGTGTTTTCTCTCCCTCCTATGATGCTCTCAGTGATTGTAAGCTTTTTTAAGCTATTTTGAAGTTATTGTCACACTGTTTCACATCATTGCATTCAGTACAAGATATAGTAGGAAAGTATCTATATTCACAGTCAGACATTGTCAGCATTTTTGATTTATTGTGCCCATGTACAGATACAGATGTAAAATTTAATTCTAAACTGTGGAATAGTTGACTGCTTACTGAGATTATTAAGTTCTACTGAAACTTTAAAAATGCCTCAAAGCCTGTTTTGGTTTCCTTTGTTTTTTTGTATCGTATAGTGAAAGTGACTTGTCTCTCTGTATGGATAACCTTATTTTCTTGCTTGTGTTTAAGCTTTTAATTTGAAATGTAATGTGTATTTCCCTTTTTTCCAATTAAAGTCAAACATTGCCTTGCAGAAAACCTTTACAATCGCTGTATGCTGAGCAATCACAATTTAATTCACCTCCATTACAAAATGTATAATGCAGTGCAAACAGTATACTGTGTTTAACACTACTGTGTTAACAAGCTTCTTTAACTGTATTTGTAGATTACCTTTTATCTCTAAGATTTAAAGGTACCTTTTGTAATTAAATTCTGCAGAATTAAACTAAAAGGTTTATTAGGCACAATGTTTATGAAATGCTTTTATATGCATTTAGGTTTTATATTTTTTTATTTTAACTTTTTAAATTATTTGTCTGGCTAAATAAAGGTTACACATTGCTCAGTCTTGTGATACAAATTGGTATTATATGAAAGTACGGCCTGGCCTTAGTTCAGTTTCTGCTGACATCCCTTTAACGCCAAAGGACTTTCAACATAAGGTCAAAGGGCTTGCTTCT